CCCCCCCCCTCTCACCCGCCCCCCCCCGTCCCTTCCTCGCCGGGCATCTTCCCAGCCCCTCGGCCCCCAGCCTGGAGCGGTGCCGGGGGTTGTTGTGGCCCAAGGGCAGGACCCGGCACTTGGCCGTGTTGCCCCTCACGCAGTGGCCTCGGCCCAGGGATCCAGGCAGTCCCGATCCCCCTGCAGAGCCTCCTGCCCTCCGGCAGATCCACGCTCCCGCCCAAATGATATGTATAAGGATCTAACAAGTAGAGCTGGAAAATAACCACCAGTCCTTGCCATGATCTTGCCTACGTGCGTTTTGGCTGCACAGTATTTTATTGATCAAAGTCCTACGTAGTACGGCCTCACAAGCAGGAATTCAAAGGTTCCGTCTGGGATTGCAGAGGCCTAGGTAACAACACAAGTAGGTGTCGGGTTAGCCCCAGGTTGATTCATTCCTGTGGAAATCAGTGTGGTTTCGTGGTGCTCAAAAGGACCTGTGGCAGTAGCTTACTATAATTTGCAATTTTATTTGCAGTATTATAATAAAACCTCAGGTCAGGATGGATGGATGAGCCACGCTTCCTAGAGGGAGGAAATGGGGTTCTTGCCATTGGCTGTTGGCCTTTCGGGGAGTATTTCACACAAGGTTTAGTGTTCTATTCATGACATCTTCAAATACACACTCCTTGTTTGGGGTATTTCTTTTATGAAGGACTTTTGGTGGGGGAAAACGGCTGTTCTGCAGACATAAAGGGATGGGACAAGTGCCGTCTGCGTTTCTCTCCAGCTGCGGGCTGCACGTTAGCGAAGCACATCTGAGCCGCCTTCTGCCGTGTTTAATTTGGTTCACTATTTCTTTCCTTTAAGAATTTTCCAAAGAAGATATGGCAAAGAGCTTGCTCCATATGATCAGCAATGACATCGGTCAACTCGCCTGCCTCTACGCCAAGCTCCACAACTTAGACAAGATCTATTTTGGAGGGTTCTTTATTCGGGGTCACCCTGTTACTATGCGCACAATAACCTACAGCATCAACTTCTTCTCCAAGGTAATGAAAACAGGGATGTTCCTAACAGCAAAGCCACGTGGTTAGTTAACCTTTGAGGTTGTTGAGAGCCTTGAGTAAATGAATTGGCACGTGGAGTAAGCTTAGAGGGCTGCTGTTTAGGTAGGTAGGGCAGGGATTATTGCGGGAGGGGTAGAGTAAATGCGAATTGCCTGGGAGTTCTGCCTGGCCCTTCTTTCTCTCTCCCTCCCTCCCTCCCTATTATCATTATTTTTTGACTGACAGTCTGCCTGGTAGCTGCCAAGTAACGAGTTGTCACTGTTTTCTTAGACAGCTGCCACTGTTGTTCAATTCCTCTTGCTGACGTGCATCTATTTCTTTTCACCTAGGCTGTGCCATGTGGGATTGTTCCGCTGGGATAGTTAGCCCTTGGCGGCAGTGGGGGTTTTTGCTTGGTTGGTTGTTGTTCAAAACAAGAAACCCAAGCCCCAAAAACCAACCAAGCTGTAGTTCTTTGCAGGTTTTGAAGCTGTGGAAAGTACTGAAGACTTTTCCCTAGAAAAACGGCCCAGTCCCAAAGCTCTTCATGGTTCTGACAGGGAGATTAGCTCTTGCACTTCTGCAGTTTTATAGAATACCTGAACACCGTTGTTTTAAATCTCAGTGCTTCAGGCAAGAGACCCGTTTGCTGCTTCCCTCCCCTTCCCCTCTATCGCACCCCTGCGGTCCCTTTCTGTAAAACTTGGTTGGGTTTCACGAAAACTGTTGCAGAACCGCAGCTTTAGAGCCTTGTAAGAACGGCTTTACTGGGGGTTCAACCCCGACTCTCAGCGTGAACTGCAGGTGGCCCGGCACGGCAGCTGACCGCAGCGTTAACCGCTCTGGGGGCGGCTGCTGCAGACGTAGCTGCTTTTCCTTCAGGGAAGGCCCTGCCTCGCCTGGGACAGGGAAGGACGGGGCTGTTCCGATTCTCCCTGGCATTCCCGTATTGACAGAGGCACTGGTTTGGTGGGGGTGGTGCGTGCCTGTGGGTCACACACAGCGTCTGTACGATGCCGAACGCCGCACGGCAGCGTAACGAAATCCTCAGCGATGCCTCGAATGTGTCGGATGCACACGCGGTTTTGGCCTGGGAATCAGCTGAGCTTATATTCCCAGCCTGTTCAAGCAAGAGGAGTTGAACGCTCCTGGGACGATGCCGTGGTCTTTTCTAGTGAAGGCACTGGCTTCCCTCCGCTCCCGTGGTTGCGCAGGCTCGGGGTACGCACCACCTCCGCACGGGGTTCTTCCCCAGCCGGTTAATAACTGCGGAATGGTGCGTGTAAGCAGCTCCTCTCTGCTTCAGAAGCACCCTTAGAGCTACTGATTGCGTTAGAACGTAGCACAACATGAATGTTACCCTCTGCTAGTTGTTTGTTACGTGTAAGTGTAAAACTAGTGACAAAGAAGTACCTGTTAGCCACCAGGGACCATCCAATTGCAATGTTTCATATTGTGGCAGGGAGAGGTTCAGGCATTGTTCCTGAGACATGAAGGCTACCTGGGAGCCATTGGGGCATTTTTAAAAGGAGCTGAACAAGACAGTAAGTACAGCCCTGCTATGTTCTGTATATGCTGTGTTCTGACCTGTCAGTGTAATGTCCAAGTTTCTCTTAAGAGGCTGCATGTCAGTTGTTGCCTAAATAAGTACAGTTGGCACTAATAAACATAGATGCTGGGCTTTGGTTTGATACCTTCTGGCAGGGAGACCTTAATTTCTCGCTGTTTTTCCTGCTCACCTTTGAGGAGCCGGCAGGATTTGGCTCTGCTCTTTCCTGCTTTTCTGCAAAGAGCCCTCGTAACGCTAAAACAAACTGGGGAAATGGGGTTTGTGAGAACTGCCCCCCTCTTTAAGCGGCCAGCGTCTGAATTCAGCTAATGTACTGCAGAAGACCAGCATCTCCAAACTGTGTCGGTTTGAGGGGGAAAAGCCTGGCAGACATGAAGGATGAGATGCTTCTGTCCAGCACTTTTTGGGCACAGGGTGCTGTGGTTGAATTCTGCCGTTCGTCTTTCCTTGCTGCTGTACGGGCAAGCTGGTCAGCGTATTAGTTGCAGTGGAACAGAGCGCGAGGTTGGTAATGGCACTGCATTTCAGTCAATATCAGATCTACCTCAGGATAATGGATGTGGAATTCTTTTCATACCCGTTTTATAGCTGCAGGCAAGGAACCAGCTGCTGGGGAATTAAACACGTACAGTACCTGCTGCAGAATCATAGAAGCAACATCTGAACTCGGCTGAACCTTTTCTCAAATAAAACCCGTTTCTAAAAGTAACTTTAGAGTTTCTATGAAACTTCCGCTGGGCTTTGAGAGTTCTGTAATTTTATTTGCTTAATAACGGGTCTAGGTTTGGGAGTACGAAGTGATCTCTGTGGTTGGTGATGGCGCTGTGAAGGCATGCTGCTCACAGCCCGTAGTGACGAGCAAAGGGGGTAAAAAAAAGAGAATGAACTTTTAATTGTCTTGTGTCTCGTTCAGGTTGAAGGTCTTTAAAGCCAGGTAATGGACTGAGCGGGTGAGACGTTTCTGTTGGGGGTTAGAGGGGAAATGGTGTTTACTTCTGAAGGCAAGGGAAAGGTGGCTTTTGCAGTGAAGCAGCTTCTCTGCAGGGATGCTAACTACACTCATGGGAGTGTTTTCAGTTGTATTTTCAGATTATGTGTGTCTCTTTTTTTCTCTTTTCTAGATCCGAATCAGTATAGCTGGGGAGAGAACTATGCTGGGAGTTCTGGTCTGATGAGCACATCACCTGACGTTTACCCTATGCAGAGAACAAGGAGTGGTACAGTATGTGGTTGTCCTTTCTAGAACTAAGTGCCTTCTCTTAGTAACGGTGATTTGAAGACCGATAATCGTGCTCAAGCTGGTTGCTTCTTGCCCCTGGACTCCTGCTTACCGAGAGGAGTGGCTGATGCCGTCTTGTGTAACGGTTTGACGTCACGTCTCATAAAACCAGATCGCGGCTGCTCCTTTGTCTCACTCGCCTTGGCCGAGTAATCCGCGCAGGGCAGTGGAGAATTTGAGGGCATGTGCTCCAATACAGCTGCCTGCAAACCTGCCAGTCCTCACTGTGGCTGGACTGCCCATAGCCCTCGTACTAATGTATTTTGTGATGCATCAGTTTCTGAGTCAGTTCCAATAACCCTCTCTCGGTTTTCACCTAGTTTGACATGCTTGAAATGGACAGGCTGGAGAGGCCGCTTGTTAACCTGCCCCTGCTGAAAGACCCCTCGACCTATATTCCGGACACCGTTGACCTCACGGATGATGCCATGGCCAGAAAATACTGGCTCACCTGCTTTGAGGAGGCGCTGGATGGGGTAAACATCACAATATTGTCGGATGTATGAATGACACAAACATATTTAGCAAATAAATCCTCTGTGGACCAGCGTGTGTACCCTGCAGAGCAGGCCTGCTGTCAGCATCACTCCCCGTGCCCTGCTAACGGAGGCAGCTCACTGCCCCGGGCTCCTACGGAAGGGCTTGGTACCTCCCAGCGCAGAAGCACGAGCAGTATTCTTCTCCTGCGGTGCTTGGCTTCTTGGTGCTTTCAAGTGGCACCGGTCCCTCAGAGCTACGTCTGCTTAGTAGGCGAATCCAAATCAAACTTCATGAGGGCGTCAGGAGGAAAAGGGCTGGGAAAAGCACGTGGTGACTTGACCTCACTGTCAGGGAGAAAAAAGAACACAGGGGGTTGTTGTGGGCTGTTACATTTCTGCCCGTTTCTCCTTTTTCTGTGGGGTGTGTGCGTGCCTTCATTGCTTTTTTCCCCTCCTGTAAGTAGTTACAACTTGTGCTTAATTTCAGAAAGCACAGTCATGAAAATAAACTTCCAATCTCTTGGGAAGAAAGGAGGTGTTAAATCTACTCTTTGGTGGTTGGGGTAGAGGGAAGCTGCTGAGTGGGAGGGAGCAGAGGGTGCGCGGGCACTGAACAGGATGGCAGATGGAGGGGTTATTTTCCAGACTGACCTTCCGATCAGTTACGTGGAGGAAGAATTCATTTAGTAACTTCAGTCTTGCCTCATTTCTCTCCCAGGTGGCAAAGCGTGCTGCAGCCAGTCAGCCGGACTCCACTGATGCACTGGAGAGAGCGGAAAAATTCCGACAGAAATACTGGAATAAGCTCCAGACGCTCAGGCAGCAGCCTTTGTAAGTGTCTTCATTTTCCCTTTCTCATCACTTGCTGCTCCGTTGAGTAGAGCAGACTGAAAAGCTGCACACTAACTGAAAGCCAAAAACCAGCGGAGTAGGTGGCGTGGCGGAGCGAACAAAGCCGAGGAGGCTGTAGGAGGTCGAGGTGCCGAATGTCAGGTCCTCTGCGCAGAGCCTTCCCGTCCCGTGTATTGGAAATTTAACCGAAAACTGGTAGCTGGGCAGAAAATGTACTGCTACAGATTGTTACATGGTTGTTAGGAGGTCGCAGGTTAAGTCAGGTATCTGGCTTTGCTCTGAAGGGTTTCCCTCTGTATCTGAGTAAACGCTGTGTGGCTTTGCCACGCGGAGACAGGGCTGGGCACGTAAAGTCTTTAAACCTCGGTGCGTGTGGGATGTGCGGCGACCGATGGAGGAATCGAAACGCTGTAACTGTTTTCTGTTTGGTTTTCTGTTTGAAGTAGTTGACCTCTTTTCCCCCTCCATTCTCCCTTTTCGAAGTGCGTATGGTACCCTAACCGTTAGAAGTCTTTTGGACACACGGGAACACTGTTTAAACGAGTTCAATTTTCCGGATCCCTACTCAAAGGTAAGTTGTTCTTCACAGAGCGGACGACACGTAAGTTACAGACACTTTTTCCATACTCTACGTATAGTTCACAGGGGAGAGGTTTGTAACTGGCTGTGGTGCAGCGGCTTTAACCGGTTGGCGTTGTCCCTGAGGACAAACGGCAGTGGGTAGCGGGATATAAAGCCTTTGGCCTCCATCGTGCTCACGGCGAGGATGACGCTAACCAGAAACCTACCGGCTTCAGGTGTCCGACACTTCCGAGAGGGGAAGTGGGGGTGCCAGTCCTGCTGACGAGCGCGTGGTGTCTGCCGTCGGGCGCTGCTGTCTCTCGCTCCTTGGGGCGGCGTTTCCTTCAGTTTAGAACTGAGGGGGCTGCAGGGAGGGGCTGCACTGCTGATTGTGGAGAACCCCCCAAGTGACCCAAGAATTCCGGTTTTGTGAGAGTCAGTTACTTCCCTTTAGACCACAGCTCCTGCTGCAGGCTGCCAGACTTGGGGAATATTTCCTTTTTCCCAGTCTCACAATTCTCTTCATGGTGTGGAAACTGTTTTCAAGTTAAAAGCAAGCTCAGCTGCGTAAGTACTTTCCACTAATGTGCAAACTGCAGGCAGCTGTAAAAGACACTTGGCATTGTTATCACAATCCCAGCAGCTACCTGCAAAAGCCATCAGCGCCACGAACTCACCTTTCTGTGTTCCTTCACCTGCAACTGTTCTCTTTCTGCCCCTAAAGGAAAGGAAGGGGTTGGGGTGTCCATAAACAGTCACCCTCCCCGCCTTCACAGAAGGCCTGGGGGAGACCAAACCCAGCTCTTCCCCCATTCCCTGACCTGGGGAGGCAGCCTGTCCTCAGACCAAGCCGTGCTGCGTGCCTGCGCGCTGCCCCCGGATCGGCGCGCGGGCGATGGCCTGGGTGGGATGGCTCACGTTGCCACCAACCTCTGTGTGTGTGTCTGTGTGTGTGTGTGCACTCTCCGTTCCCCAACGGGCTGAAGGTCTGTTGCACCTCTGGTGTACTAAGAGCAATGGTTCTCGGGCTACGGGTCACACCCTGGCACTAACGAAGCTTTTCATCAGAATCCCAGGAAACCTATTTTCTTGTTGATACTAAGCGTCCTGGTAACGGTAACTTGTTGGTCCATTAGAGGCCATGAACGTAGAGGAGGATGCTTGACCGTGGTCTTGGGACTGAGACAGCCAGTAATGGGTAAGAGATTTTTGTCTATAAATCCAATGTTTCGTGTCTTTCTTGCAGGTAAAGCAGAAGGAAAATGGCATAGCCTTAAAGTGTTTTCAGAGCGTAATCGAATCTTTGGATTCGTTGGGCTGGGAGGAGAGGCAGTTTGCTCTGGTGAAAGGACTTCTTGCGGGGAATGTCTTTGACTGGGGAGCAAAAGCAGTCTCAGAGTAGGTGTTTGATACTTTAAACACTCCCTTTCCACACACAGAATACCCGCTTGTTCCTTACAAACGTGCCGCGCGCCGACCCAACTTCGCTCGTAGTTGGTGTTTCGCCGTAAGCCAAGGCTGGCCGTTTCTTCACGCGCGGCGCAGCGCTGGGCGCTGTGAACGTTTGGGCGACGCCAGGGAGCACCCGTTCCTCGGTCTGGCTGCTGGTGGCGTTGTCGCTGGCGCTGCTGTTGGGGGTGTGTGGCACTGCCATCCCAGCCCAGAACCAAGCTGCTTTTCTGCACCCTCCCTTCTGCCGACACCACAGTACACACCCAGTGGGCTGCGGGTTAGGTTGGGGGTCTCTTTTGAGCACTAAATACGAATTATTTTTGGTCAGCACACATTTGGAGAGCTTTTTGCCCCATATATCCTGTCGCAGCCAAGAACTCATTTGCGGATAGTTTTGATTTTTCAGTCCTAGAACCGGCTGTCCGTGGGGCTGCCAGCCCAAGAGCCGGGGAGGGGGACACTCTTACAGCTGACACTCAGCACTCCCTTTCTGCACCTCTGAGCAGCTTTCCCGCCGGTTAAACGAGGAGCAGCCCATTAAACCCCGGTGGCTGGAGGCCTGCCGACCACAACAGGTCCTTTTTGCCGGTACTCTAGTCCCTGCCAGCAGCTGCGTGTGGCTGGAGCCGTTGTCGCTAGCGTGAACTCTGATTTAACGCACGTCTGAGCCTTTTCTGTTTCACACGGGCCCAGAGCGTCTGTTTCTCAGCCACTGGCCCTGCCCACACTCCCCGCATAACCGGTGCGGGAAAGTCGCTGTCCCCCTGCTAAAGAAACGCTTGAACTACAT